TAAAGAAGATGTGGTATATATATATCATGGAATACTACTCAGCCATAAAGAAAGACAAAATCGCCCCATTTCCAACAACATGGATGGACCTGGAGAGTATTATGTTAAGTGAAATAAGCCAGAAAGAGCAAGACAAACAGGGCATTATTTCACTCGTATGTGGAAGATAAACCAACAAATGCACAGATAGAACTGTTTGGTGGTTACCAGGTGGTAGGGGGTTGGGGGGTGGGCACAAGTGGTGGAGGGATGCACTTATATGGTGACTGATAAACAATAATGTACAACAAAAATTTCACAATAAAAAAAGAGAAAACACTTAATATCACGAATCATTAGGAAAATGCAAATCTCAAGCATCATTATAAATCAGAGGACATAAAATATGAATAAATTGAATAAATAAAAAGGCTCTATTTTTTCAATAAGTATCAGCATGTAGTGAATCATTCCACAACCATTTTCTTTTTTATTATTGAGTAAATTATCATGTTGCTATTTTGAGCCAGAAGATAATTGGGGCATATTCCCCTTGGGGCATCTTCTGTGCGTTTCATCAACAGTTGAGTAAGTAGACATAAACAATTTAAATTAATCATATTCATAGTTTATCTAAACCTGCTTTTGTTGTTTCACAGGTAAGAGAAAATTTCAGATGCTTGGCAGAATACTTTAGGAGATAAAATCTAAAATATCAAGGTCAAATATGTTCTGACATGCCCAGTACAGAACCCTTTAGTTGATGCTTTTGCTGGTGAATAAATATAACAGAGAAAATAGAAACTATGGACTTTATGTTTGTAGAGTTAAGTGAGAGTGCTCCAAATTGAGTGTGTGCTTTCGTTTTCCTAATGGAAGAAAACAGATCAGATTAAAGTAAGAACAATAAGAAAATTTATCAGTGGAGGGCAAGAAACATTTGACTATTCAACTATTTGGGGGCTTATATTTTGCTGTAATGATAATTGCTATAATTATCCTTTTCTTTTGCTCATTTTGCAATGTAGAAGCCACTTCATATTATTACTATTTCATAATGTTTCTCTAGTCTCAATGTTGAAAAAGTATCAAAATCTATATCAAGAAGCATGTTTTATTTTACTGGGGTGACAAGTGGGGAAGTCAGTTACAGAATGAATTCATGGTATTATAAGAGGCAGTGTAAAACGGTGAAAGTGCATGCCCTGTGAGGGAGACCTGGGATTGAATCTTGGCTCTGGTGCTTATTAGCTGTGAGAGTTGCTATAAAGGTGAAATAAAGTAATGTTCATAAATGTCTATTCGTATTGCATGTGCTCAATACGTTCCTGTTATTATTTTTCTCCTCCTTCGCTAACAGTGTTTGAATATTGAGCCAAAGATATTTGGAATTTTCTTCCTTCTATTAAAATCGTATTTTTAGACGTGGCTTTATATTAATTTAAAAAGTTTATGCTATACTATTAAATACTTCAAGAATAACAGTCATTTTCTCTTTATAATTCTGAATCCTTTCAATATATTCTAATATTGACTTAGTTATACCCAGTATAAGTTTTATTTGGCTTCTAAGAGAAATGCCTGTTTCAAGAGAAATTTAGCAGAAGTACTTAACATTGTAGTCTCTCACTCTCTTATTTACCCAAGTAAACTTAAGCTCACTGTAATGTAGCAGATGGAATAGTGGTGATCTGTGTGTATTTTTCGTATTAACAGATCACACAATTCACAAAACTTCTTTATTCTCTAAACAATAGTCCAGAGACAGAAAGAATGAGTAGAGGAAAAGAATCATAATCAAAGTGTGATTCATTGAATTTAATCTTTATTTAATTAATTGGTTTCAAGGTGTATTAATAATCACAAAACAAATATATTACATGTAGCTAAAGAATGAAATATCTGGCTCAAGGCTCTGGTCACATATATTTTTCAATGATTAGTTATAATATTAGTTTTGTGATTCAATATTTGCTAATGTTTTAAAAATAAGTACATCAGGGGCTGGCCCAGTGGCATAGTAGTTAAGTTTGTGTGCTCCACTTTGGTCACCTGGGGTTCATGGGTTCAGATCCTAGTTGTGGACCTACACACGGCTCATCAAGCCAT